GAACGAAGTGAGAGCTTGCCGAGGATGGCTACTCGGGAGTGGAGGTTAGGGTTACTCCTGCCCGCACTGAGATCATCATCAGAGCCACTCGTACTCAGAATGTTGTCGGTATGCACTAATACTTTATATTCTACTGCATAATTGATAGGATTTTCCGATTTTGTTTTGATTCTTTAGTATAAAGATTAGAATGTAGTGTTCTAGGTTATCTTTTTGTCAACATTTTATTTTTGCTTACATTCTTCACCTTCTTAGTCTGTCTAGTTGTCTTAATGGAAGTACTACCATGTCATTTTCCGTATAAAATTTTTGAAACAGTTAGATCTTGTGTATTTAGGGTTGAAATATTGCATGAAAAATAAATTTCCAAAGTAGATAAGGATAGGGTGAAATGTTCCTAATAAATGCAAATATTGAAGTGTGGTTCTAGATAAATGGAAACAAATCACTGGACACATCTTTCACTCCTTTACTTTTGGATGTCTGTGGAACTGTGGAAGTATGTATGAGCTATTGAAAGCTATTTTACATGTTTTTTCCTTAACTTTATTGTTCTGGTTTGTAATGTCGTTTTTCTGGTTTGTACTTTCAAGGTGATAAGGGTAGGAGAATTAGGTAGTTAACTTTGCTTGTTCAGAAGCATTTCAAGTTTGAAGATAACACTGTGGAGCTTTATGTTGAGAAAATGAACAACAGAGGTCTTTGTGCCATTGCTCAGGCAGAGTCACTACTGTATAAATTACTTGGAGGCCTAGCTGTCTGCAGGTTTATGTTCATGGAAACTACCATTCTATCATGTAGGCAGTTTAGGGTTTGATTTATTATATTTGGATAGTCACTTGGAAGAATTTTAATTTAATTATGTGGAAGTCATCTTTACAGTGAGTTGGTTTCTACTAGTACCTATCTCGTGTCTGAGGGTGACCATATGTATCAATCCCTTCTGCAATCAATCCAAGGAAATCCTTCTGCTCCTTGGAGATGAACATATCACATATGGAAGGGAGAAATGATTAAGGAATAGAATATCATATTAAGGAAAAATTAAGGCAAAAGTTTGTTCTTTGTGGCATCTATACCAAGATACAACTTTTTAATATAAATATAAACATATACTGAAGATTTTTGCCTAGACCAAGATGTTTTTTTTTTTTTTTTTTTTTTTTTTCTTTGCAGATAAAGAGACTATCACATGGAAGTTAAATCAGTATTTCAGCAATCTTTGATGTCTTCTGATTACATTGACCATAAAGTTTTCAAATTTTTTGGGCTCTTGATTCATCTTAAACACTGCTTAAATCAATAGATGTAAGCTATTTTTAGTCAAGTGGTGTTAAATCACAAGTCATCTTTACAGCGAGTTGGTTTCTACTAGTACCAAGCTCGTGTCTGAGGGTGACCATATATATCAATCCCTTCTGCAATCAGTCCAAGGAAATCCTTCTACTCCTTGGAGATGAACATATCACATATGGAAGGGAGAAATGATTAAGGAGTAGAATTTCATATTAAGGAAAAATTAAGGCAAAAGTTTGTTCTTTGTGGCATCTATACCAAGATACAATTTTTTTAATATAAATATAAACATATACTGAAGCAAAATTTTCAGATCAAGATTTTGCCTAGACCAAGATTTTTTATTTTTTATTTTTCCTTTTCTTCTTTGCAGATAAAGATACTATCACATGGGAAGTTAAATCAGTATTTCAGCAATCTTTGATGTCTTCTGATTACATTGACCATAAAGTTCTCAAATTTTTTGGGCTCTTGATTCATCTTAAACACTCTGGTTAAAATGTTAAATCAATAGATGTAATCTATTTTAAGTCAAGTGGTGTTAAATTACAAGTCATCTTTACAGTGAGTTGGTTTCTACTAGTACCTATCTGGTGTCTGAGGGTGATCATATGTATCAATCCCTTCCTGCAATCAGTCCAAGGAAATCCTTCTGCTCCTTGGAGATGAACATATCACATATGGAAGGGAGAAATGATTAAGGAGTAGAATTTCATATTAAGGAAAAATTAAGGCAAAAGTTTGTTATTTGTGGCATCTATACCAAGATACAATTTTTTTAAATATAAATATAAACATATACTGAAGCAAATTTTTCAGATCAAGATTTTTGCCTAGACCAAGATGTTTTTTTTTTTTACTTTTTTTTTTTTTTTTTTTTTTTTTTTTTTTTTTTTTTTTTTTTTTTTTTGCAGATAACACATGGAAGTTAAATCAGTATTTCAGCAATCTTTGATGTCTTCTGATTACATTGGCCATTAAGTTCTCAAATTTTTTGGGCTCTTGATTCATCTTAAACACTATGGTTAAATCAATAGATGTAAGCTATTTTAAGTCAAGTGGTGTTAAATCACAAATCCCTGACTTGTTACAATATGTAAATCAAAGGAAAATACTTAGGTAGACCTGGCCAACTTATCTATAGGTGGGTCTTAGAATTGACATATCAGTAGAAGTTGCCATGTGGATTTTTGTTGGTATACTACAGAATTGCTACCGACTTAAAAGAAAAAGAAAATAGACATTCATCTTTTTCATCTCCAATTCAAAAGAAGTAGTGGGTTTGAAGTTGCAGAAAATTTTCTTATGACAATTTTCTCTTCAAGAGTTCTGATGTTAGCAGATGCCAGTAGAGGAAACTCCTTTTTGCATGTTCTTTTTCACCAAATTGAAATATCACCTAAACTCCAGAAGGTTTTAATATATTTGACGCCATTAGAGGTCCAAGAATCTTTTGTTCCTATTTTCTGAGTTCAATTGTAATAATATATTTTCCAAAATAATTATACCATGGTTGATTGAATTTCTCAATTTTAATTAAAAATCAGCTGGCAGCAGTAACATACAAGATCCACATGGTCCCTTACCATTGATATTATCAATTGCCCCACTCAAGAGCTAAGCATACCGAAGTACTTTCTGAAAGTAGAACTCAATTTGAAGTGATTCCTGTTTTGAACCTGCCCAGATGCTGTAGTATCGTTGAACTCTGAAGTCTGAATTACCAACAGTAGATTTTCTAGTAGGGTTAATTTTCTCTCAGGATGAAATACATTAATTCATTTTTGTGTTGATATATTTTTTCTGTCATTGCCATTGTATCTATTTATTCTAAAATTGAGTTGCAGTCTCTTGATTGAACTTTGCTGAAACTTAATTTGTGAATGATTGCATGTTTTATGCACTGTACATGTTTCAGTATATATAAATGTGTGCATAGACATGAATTAGTTGTTGTACACAGCAATTATATCAGTAGTACTCCATATTTTAGTTACAAGTGAGGCAGTCTTTCTCAAGTAATGAGTTTGGTGAGCCTATAACAAGAGTAAGGTGTTTGGCCATATACTCAATATAGGAGCTTAAAAATCATACAAGACTCTGAATTTACTTAGGGGGCGTTTGGTTCAGGTCATCTTTGATTACCTAGGTAATCTGAGTCTAGTAACGTTATATTACCTTGTTTGGTTCAAGTTATGAGATTACCTAGTAATGTTATATTACCTGAAAGCTGATGTGGCGGTAATGTTTCAAGGTAATGTGATTACCCCCATTTTTTTTAGGTAATCTTAGATTACCTTGAATTATTCCAACTTTGCCTTTGTTAACTGATCCTTATCCTAATATAATAATAATAATAATAATAATAATAATAATAATAATAATAATAATAATAATAATAATATTATTATTATTATTATTATTATTATACATGCGTATATTTATATATTTAGTTTTTTAATATTTGAACATTGATATACATTCATACATATAAATAAATAAAATAAATACACGCACATAAATAATATATATATATATATATATATATATATATATATATATATATATATATATATATATATATATATATATATATATATATATATATTATTGAGGACATTATTGTAAATTGATTCATATAACCTAAAATATAACCCTTAACCAAACACGGTAATATTATATTCCACAATCTAAACCAAACACATAAGGTAATCTTAAATTCCGGTAATCTCACATTACCTTCCTGAAGGTAATCTTATTACCTGGGGTAATCCAATATTCCGTGAACCAAACGCCCCCTTATAGTAATGTAATCTATTAAGATGTGTGCCAAGCTGTTAGCCTTGCTTTTAGGGTAGTTAAAATTTTGGTTTTTGCAAGGCTGATATGTAAGATGCCATAAATACTTACCTAATCTATGACTATGAGATTCTCATGGTCCAATAGGACCTTGAACTTTTCATCTACACAAGAATATTGAGCTTCCCTAGTATGATAAGGGCAGATCGAAAGAATTTTGTGGTTGAAGATTTTCAAGGTCACTAAGATTGTGTGACATCATATGGTCTTAGACTAGGTAAGTATTTTTGAACTCAAAAATGTCTTCTGCATCATTTATTCGAGTCTTCTAATAGCCTTTTCCTTGGTTCTTTAGGTGATTGTCAGTGGGAAGCTCTGTGCCCAGCGTGCTAAATCAATGAAGTTCGAGGATGGATAATGGGCAGCCTGTAAAGGAATATATCGACTCTGCCATTAGGCATGTCCTACTTAGACAGGTTAGCATTGTGCAAATTGGGTTCTTGACTTCTCTGTTCTTTCTAAATGGCAAGTTGTTTTAACCCATCATTATTCTCGATCTGTTACTTTGGTAGGGTGTACTTGGTATCAAGGTCAAAATTATGCTTGATTGGGATCCCAAGGGTAAGCAAGGCCCAGTGACTCCATTTGGCCTGATCTGGTGATCATTCATTCTCCTAAGGAGGAAGAAGCATATATTCCTTCATTGATCGCTGCCCCTCCCATCATGGAAGCTCCAATTCCTATTCTGGTGGCATAGAACCGTTCTATCTTTCCACACTAATAGTACCCCAGAAGGGTTCATTTTTGTTACTGCTAATCCTTAAACCTCACAAATTTCCAAGACTTAACATCTGACACAATGCTCAGTTAGATAGATGATTTAAGATCCAGATTAGTTACTTCTGTTTTTCCTTTTCGGGAATACAAGGATTTCCATCAATATGAGTGCTTGATCTGTAAGACTGTACAAACTCCAGATATTTGTTAGTGCTTCGGCAATAATTTTGTAGTTAAGAAGTTCATTTCATCAAGCCAAGCCACAACAGGTTAGTTTATATTCTTCAAATTCATTGTACAGAAAACCAGTAAGAGTGACTAAGTTCCAAGTTTAGAATTTTGCACAATCCCTAAACGATTTGAGTTTGATTCGTTTACGTCTCCTCTGAAAGAAGTGTAATGAAGCAAGTTGTGGGAATGGAATGGATGGTGCAATTGCTGTATCTGTGCAGAAGCACTGAAAGAGGAAGTGGGAGTGAGTGGGGGCTTGGCTTGGCTTGTCTTGGTGGGATTGGAAGATGAATGTAAATAATGGAATGGAATTGATGAAGACCATTTTATATGCGCAATGAAAGTGAGAGTTTGTTTGCAAGGCCACTCACTATGTATATGAGCCCAGTGAGTGGTGGTTTCGGTTTTGGGGAGGGAATGTGAAGAGGGTAATGATTAGACCTAGGAAAAAATGATTATCATATGAATGCCCCGAAATCTTTAGATCTTATCAACTTTGACATCACACATGCCTCAAGGCATGCAAATTCCCACTAACCTCACCTTCCAACTAAACCAGGATTCTATGGTTCAGTTGAGTTACCTTGATTTACATCTTTCGTCGGATTGGAGTATGGGGGGCCTTTAGGGTTGGGGATTTAACTTTTTGAGAAGAATGATTCATAATTCTTTATAAGGTAATATTTGTTATATATTTTTTCAATCTTTTTCAACCTAAATAATCAATGCCTCTACAACTCATTTAGAATGGTAATAGAGGTTCACATTACATAGTAGTTGGTCTGATCCTTAGAATAAATGATATTATCACATTTATTCTTAGGCTATCCTTATCCTTGCAAATCTCTGACTTTCAAAAATGCGTTTCACTTTCACTGACTTTCACTGTTTCAAGATTTTTTTTTTTTTTTTTTTTTTTTTTTTTTTTTTTTTTTTACATCCATGCAATATTTTCTCACTATCAAAAGTAGTCTACTTCATATTATATATTATAAATGTAATAATAAAATAATGATAATTTAAAAAAAAAAAAAAAAACTTATGGTGCGGCAGCTTTTGCTGTCAAAAGCAAATTTGCTAGTTACGTGGAGGTACAAACAAAATAAACAATGCTTTGTGTAATTTCTACATTATCTTCATCTTGCAAGTCCCCCATATTGTGGGTTGAGGACAACCTTATACTACAATACAATGCCTCCACACCAATCCGAATTGCATATTATATTTATTGTCAGATTGTGATTATTACAAAATTGAGTTATTGTCAAGGCTGGTCGTGATTAAACTAAGTTCTTAATTTTAGAAGTTCAATTGTTGTAGTGATTTAAAAACTACACACACCCCGAAAATTAAACCTAAACCTTTTTTTAATAAAAACGAAAAGTAATTATTATGTGTAACTAATTGGACAAAAAACGAGATTGTTAATAATGAAAACTAAACTTAAAATATTTTAAGTGAAATAAATCATCAATATTACTACAATGGAACAATTTACACTAATATAAGTCCATTTGTTTTCATTTTGAGGAAATTAAAGAAGATTATTGATACCGACAACTAAACCTAAATCGTTTTGAGCAAAATAAACAGTAATTATCAATTAGCCTAGCACAAATATACTAACCCTAATGGTTTCATGATTCACTTTTGAGGTGTAATGAATAATGATCATGATCATGATCAGTTTACATTATACAAACCAAAGTATATATCTACCACAAGGGCATTATATATATATTGAATTGGGTGAATGGAAGGTGAAGCTAGCTAGCATGCCCAAAAAGATGTGCTCATTGGGTTGTTAGCTTTGTGGGCATAGTGGGGAAGGGAAGATCAGAGCAGACAACTAAGCTGCTGCTGCAACATACACACTCAACATCATCATCTCAATCAATATTATACAAATCCAATCCCCAAAAGATCTTTCTTTCTTTTATACTTAGGCGGCTCTCAATCTTTTTCAACCCCTTTTTGAAGCTTTTAAAAAAATGCAATTTTCCCCCTAAACGTTTCCACTTCCCATTCAATTCCCCACTAAGATTAGAGAATGCAAAAGTCAATGGATTATTTCATGATCTTATGAGTATGACCTGTCATGCATAACAAGTCAAAACCTTTTTTTTCCCCCACAATCAATTCATTCCTTCTCCATCTTTGTTATTATGCAATTCAACCGCGCCGGCGGCCTCTCGTTTGGTTAGTTCACCAAATAGAGCTAGCTAGGAAGAAAGATATATATGATTTTCAAAAAAAAAAGGAAGAAAGATATATATGTATACTAGGGGGACAAAACTAGGGAAGCCTAGCTAGCTCTGATCTATATCTTGGGATATATATCTGCCTACTTTCTGTCTTGAAAAAGGATTATGTAAAAATAAAAATAAAAAATTCATTTTATAGTACTTCATCTGTCCCATTTTACCTATCTTACTTTCATTTTTAGTTTGTTCCAAAAAGTATCCTCTTTTTAAAATTGAACATAATTATCATTATATATTTTCCAATTTATCCTTTTCACTTTTCAAATTTCTAGAGGAAAATACAATTATACTTTGTACAAGTAACACTTACTCTTGAGTAGGGATGTCAATTTCAATTCGCCCCGCGGATATCCATCTTGAATCCATCTTACATGGGCCGGGTTTCTTTTGGGTGTAGGTCTTAAAAAAGTAAACCCGCAATGGGTCGGTTGAATTCGAGTTCTATGTACAAAACCCGTTTAGAATTCCACCCGACTCACCATGTAGTTATTTATAAAAATTTATACAACTTCATATAAATTTTTACTATTTTTATATCTAAACTACTAAGTTTATTTTAAAAAATTAATAATTTAGTTATTATATTTAAATACTTTTATTATTTTATGTTTTAGTATAACTAATAAATTTTATTATTTTATTATGTGTAAGTAATTTAAATATTATTTTTTGAAAAAAATAATAAGATTATAAGTGGTGGGTACCCGTAGTGGGCACCCGCGTCCGGTGGGGGTAGGTTTTGAAAAAGTCCACCTGATACGTGTTGGGGGTAGGGGTGGGTGGAGAAAATATAAGGTGGATCAGGTGATGGATGTAGCCCTTCCCGACCCACCCCCGACCCATTACCATCCCTACTCTTGTGGGACAAAATAAAAAAGTTAATAACATTTGTTATGTTGTATTAAAAACCGTGTAAAAAGTAAAGGCTAAAGTGTCATCCTGCACCATGAACCATTCATGATTATTCATGTCGTACCATGATCTTTAATAAGTGATATTTAGAGCTATAAATCATAATTTTTTTTTCGTCTAGAACTTTTTACAGGTTTCCTACAGGTTACGAGTAATAATATTGCTGACATGGAATTTTTTATTAGTTTTCTTAGTATTTTTCTTCTTTCGCTTTTGTATTATAATTTTTTCGGTATTTTTCTTTTTCTTTTTCCCTAAACGTATAGGCCTGCTCTGCGTTTTTCACTTCTCGTTTCTCCGATACCAAACTCCGCAGAGCAGGCCTATACAGAGTAGGCTTGATCGGAGAAACGAGAAGCGAAACACGCAGAGCAGACCTATATACGTTTAGGAAAAAAGAAAAATACGAAAACAAAAATTAATACGAAGGTGAAAGAAGAAAAATACCAGAAAAAATAATAAAAAATTCAATGTCAGCAATATTATTACCGGTAATCTGTAGGAAACCTGTAAAAAGTTTTAAACGGAAAAAAAATTATAGTTTATAGCTTTGAATATCACTTATTAAAGATCATGATGTGATATGAATAATCATAAATGGTTCATGGTGTGGGATGACACTTTAGTCAAAAGTAAATGAGACAATCATTTAGTAACATGTGGAGTATTATATAATATCTTATGATGGGGATATATGAGATGTGAAATAAGGAAGAATAGTAGTTCTAGTTTCTTCAATGATTATTGTGTGGTAATAGATATTTTTGTTTTTAATTGGTTGGTGTGAGTATATTTTGTCCTTTTGTTTTAGGAAATATTTTGTCTGTAGTTAATATGAAATTAAAATGTTCTATTTTTTTTTTTGAATGTTACTGGCTCTATTACATTGTAGTATCTGTTTATATACTTTCTCAACCTACTGAAACACACAGAACTAATAACACCTCGACTGAGACTCGAACTCACAACCTTCTAAAATGTTCTATTTAGTCTTTAATGAATTTTTATTTAACTTTTAAGAGGAACTAGAAAAGTATGATATTTGATAAATATTTTCTCATGTACTCATTAAACAACTAATAAAGTGATGTGGTTTTTCTAATTGTTATTCAGAGTTATAATTAGATTTCATCATAATCAGCTTGGTTGTATTAGGACTAGTATTAGGAATCTATGTATTTGAGTCACATTATGATTCCCTATTCTAGTCTCCATATGATTCATATTCGTCTCTCTATGATTCCTCTTGTATATATTCCCCCAGTCTGTACAGTTATTAAATAGTTCATTCAATATAGTTTTATACAGTTCTACAGTTATTAAATAGTTCATTCAATACAGTTTTATACAGTTATTAAATAGTTCATTCAATACAGTTTTATGCAGTTCTCATCGATTGGTCTAACGTGAGTGGCCATGCACTCTCATCCCTTAAGAGAAGTCAGAAGTTCGAGAGTTCAAAATTCTCTTGTATGGGAATTAATCTAGTGTATAATTCCCGATCAGTGCACGAATATATTTAAAATTAATATATTATGATTAAATTAATTTGCCAAGTACCTTGTGCTTAGATGACATGTAAAGACTCTCCCATATGGGAAGTCATGAGATTGAGCCTCAGTGGATGTAGATGTTTTACTTAATTTTATTCTTTCGCGCGTCCAACTGCAACATATATTTTCATAATTCATAATGTATATTATTCTAAAAAATAATGTACATTATTGTAAAGCATAATGTACATTATTGTAAAGCATAATGTACATTATTTTAAAACATAATGTACATTATATTACCTCAGATGTTCCATTATTCTAACACGTAATATACATAATTTAACACATAATGTACATTATTCTAACACGTAATATACATTATTGTAAAACATAATGTACATTATTCTAACACATAATGTACATTATTTTTACTCATAATATTCATGACGATATTTTGGACCGTGGTCCACATAATAATTTGCCTCTGAGTATGATACGGGCTTAAAGATGCCTCCTACAGTTAGGGCTTGCTCAGGACACCTCGTGGTCTGATCCCAAAAAAATAAAAAAGAGAAAATTGTAAAAAATGCCCCCTGGGGATGCAAGATAAGAAAGAAGAGATTCATTATAATAGACATTAAAATAAAATGTTCCCAACTTTTTAAAAACAATAGTCAAAATTAGGGATGTCAATCGGGCCTAATCCCGATGGGCCGACCCGATAAAATCAAAATCGATAAAATATTAATTTGATGAGTCCGAAACCGATTAGTCTGATGACCCGATAGGGCTAGTTTGAAATTAAATGGGCTAGCCCGATAACTCGAACTATTGAAAATTACTCTTTATTATAGAAATGATGTGAAACATAACATACATGAAATTTATACGTGAGTTCATCTTTAATATATTTATTATATTTTTAAATAAAAATTTAATAAATATATTACAATAAAATTATTTTTATAATAATAAATAGAGTAAATACCTAAAATGGCCCCTCGACTATAGCTAAATTCACAAATTGGTTCTCGAATTTCAATTTCAACCAATTAAGTCCTTAACTTTGTAATTTTGACACGATTTGGTCCTCCATCTATTTGGACGTTTGTTGACCGCGATCTTTGAGGATATATATGTAGTTTCACGTGCAAAGCTCAAGAGAACGCTCTTGAAGGTGACATCGTTGTTTCGGAAAGGGAAGTGCTTCTCCGCTTGCTGTTTGGGGATCACGAGCCGGTTCAGCTTAGAGAACGCTCTTGGAGGTGACAGCGCCGCTTCGGAGGGGGGAAGTGCTTCTCCGCTTGCTGCTTGGGGATCCCGAGCCGGTTCAGCTTGCCTACATCACTTGGAGTCACGGCTTTCTCGAAGGGCCACTCCAGGAACTTCGGTGATCTATCTATCAAAAGCTATAATCTCTCTGGCATGGGGTGCAGCGCCGACAGTGGATTCAAATGTAACATTGCGGGCTAGAAATGCAATTGAAACCTTAAAAAACCGATGATGGACCATGAAATTACATATATATCATAAAAAGTGCAGTCAACAAACAGTCAAATAGACAAAGGACCAAATTGTGTTAAAATTGCAAAGTTAAGGACTTAATTGGTTGAAATTAAAAGTCGAGGACCAATTTGTGAATTTAGCTATAGTCGAGGGACCATTTTAGGTATTTACCCTAATAAATAATGAAAAGTTAAAAACTTGTTGTATATATTATATTATAGTGTAACTGTGTAAGTATATTAATCATTTTTAGTTAGAATTTAGAAATGCCGGTTTAGATTAATTGAATGAATTATGTATAAATTAATATTTATTAGTGTATATGTCCTAGTTTGAAATATACTTTAATTTATTTAACATTGATATAATTTATATGTAATATTTTTATTTTTTACTATACAATTATAATATTATTAAGTTATAAAGTTCATAAAATGTATATTTTATGGCTTTCCTTAACTTATGAATAAATAAAATTTATATTAGTTATATATATATATATATATATATATATATATATATATATATTAATATAAAATTACAATTAAACGTATTATACTAATTAATACATGTAAAAATTAATAATTATATGACTAAGCTCACATGCCACAAAATTAGAACTACGAAAAAGACAAGCTACGCTATCTCGGTCCACATCTAGTGCGATCTCTCTATCTACTCAAAACCTGTAAAACATAAGGGATAGCACCCGTCAGCGAATAAAGCTGGTAACCCACCATTACGCGTTGAGTAACATATAGTATAGATATAGAAAAAAGCATTTGAGACTTTGAAATACAATATATAATCATTTAAAAATGAGGAACAAACAACATAAGACTTATCATAAAGTCACTCTCAATCAAAGACCAATCCCAACAGATTACTCAATAATCAATAAGAACGACAGAAGCAACATGCTCAACAACAAGATACATCATACGATAATCAATCAAGAGACAATCATAAGTCACACTCATAAACCATGAGAGACAAGATTCACAATCAAAGATGAGTACCAAGTTCCAACCTTATGCCCTGTTCCAACCATTCTCTTCACTCGTAGTGTCAATAGTCATATAGATAGTACTAATCACGTGATAGTCTATCTCCTTTCATTATTGTCCACCAATCATATAACATTACATAGTCATCATCATAGAGGATTGAGGTTCATCAATAGCCCAATCAACTATCACCAAACGGGTACAACATATGTACAAGATTACATCAAGGAATACAACTGATAGATTTCAATGAAAGGCATGAATAGACCATCAAGACAACGATACATCAACGATAGACTTTAATCCAAAGACTACCATGATTGGCAACACAAGTTGTCAATCCCCATTAAGAACAAACGAACAACACATACTAGCATCAACAACATTAGGACTAGCATGTACATCAAAATGAGAAACATAACGGTTCATCCGAACCTCAACGACTTCACATAAATCCAACGAATCATAAGGTTGGACCATAAGCACGATTCAAGACTCATAATCCTATCATGGATACTTAGGACACCGTTCTATACATACGAAACATCAAAGGAGACACACAAGTGCTCAACGATTCAACAAAACCGAAGCCAAAGCGTCACGTGCCGCCAGTGGGCGGAAGTCTAGGCCTGGGCACTTTGGTTCAGGTTTTAACCGAACCGATTAGATCCGAACCGGTTCGGTTTCAATCCGAAGTACCGATCGGTACTCGGTAAGGAGAAACTGATCGGTTCGGACAAAACGATCGGTTTTTTATTTTATTAAATATATGTAATGTATTAAATGTTTAAACTGAGGTTTGAACCCTTACCCACCAAGTTAAAAATCTAGAACTTTACCCGTTAAGCTATAGCCACATTTGTCTTAATACTTACATTTGTATATTAATAAAGGTATACATTGTTTATTAAATGTTGTACACTTCAATTATTATAGATATATTATTTATTTATTGTAAAAACAAAGTATAAATTATGTCAAAATTGTTTACATTATTAATAAAAAAAAAATAAATTTTGTTCATCTCTATAGTTTTCAAATACGATAATTAAAATTTACTAATTTAAGGAATTGCAAAATATAATTTGAACTATAATTTGTAATTATTTGCATTTATCAAAATTTTAATATTGGGCATAAATTTTCGTGCATCATGCGTACAAAATGCTAGTATTATATACAAATATTATAATAATTAATAATTTTAACTCATCAAGCCCTCATATCTCAGCTCTAAGTTGTAAGTCCCAACAATTGGTGTTTTAATAATTCTTATTTTTCAAATATTAACTATAGATGGATGATTCTTCATATTGTCATCAACAAAACACTTCAAGTGGCACTCCAAGTGAGTCAACTGAACAATCGGTCAGGCAAAAAAAAAAACGTTCAAATAGTGGACTTCCACCAAAACCGAATCGAAACCGAACTCTATTTTAAACCGAATGGTTTAATTTTTTTAAAATCGAAACCGAAAAAAAAACCGAACCGAAACCCGAAGTGCCCAGCCCTAGGCGAAATGGTGGGTGGACAACCACCCGCCACACTCCCTTACAGGTACCAGCGGGTGGAACCATGGGTGGACCTCCACCCGCGGCTCTGCCCGCCGGTCACCACTTCACCTCCCGCGAGTGGAACGGCAGGTGGATAGCCACCCGCTGTTCCACCCGCGGGTACACATACCTAGGGGAGAAATTTCCTTCAGGGAAAAACATCAACAATACCATGCTCAAGTCCAAAATACCCAAAAACTCACATTAAACAAGGAAATGACTTGAACACATGAATAGCTCAAAAGATAGCATTTAAGAAACCTAGATACAAGCTCTAACATGCATAAATACAAGATTATGCATCAAATCTCACAAGAAAATCAAGAACATCAAATAAAGTATCAAGAATCATCATAGCAAATGTAAAGTAGGTTTTGTAAAGCATGGGCTACCTTTGTAGACCAAGATACACTTCCTTTTTAATCCCCTAGACTTCTCCTTGAAGTTCCTCAACCAAATCTTCTCAACACAACCAAACATACAAATAAAAACCAAAACTTAGATAAAGACTAGGTAAGCTACTCAAACACACCAACTAAGCTAAGATCTTACCCTTCCTAGTGCTTTGGTGGTGGAAAGGTAGAATCTTGGAGAGTTTTCTTGCAAGGATGAAGGTGGATTTTACTTGGCTTGGAGAGTAAGCTAGGCCTTTTTAGAGAGAAGGTAGAGAAATTGTAGAGAGAAGTGGTAAGGTTAAAATGATTTTGATTTCTCTTAGTTGGGGTGGGGTTTTTAGAACAAAATCTGAAAAGTAACATAGAAGTGGGTCCCTCTTGAGTCAAATAAATGATAGGGAAGGATTAAAGGCTTAGTACAATGCATAAAGCATCATGTACACTTAGTTGACTAGTGAATTAGTCAACTTTTGGTCCCCCGACTATTTAATTAAGGAATTATAAGGAATAGTTCACAAAGAGAGCTAGGATTAATTACATAAGTAATCCTATTTAGGGGATTGGATTTTCGGGTTGTCACACTCTCCACCCCTAACAAAAAGCTTCGTCCCCGAAGCTTGGGTGCAACGAGGTTCAAAACAGCTGGCTTGCAAAACGTGTGACAGGGTACAAAGAATAGGTTGTAAACAGGGTTTAAGGTCATAGAGTTTTCCACCATGCAAACACCACTACTAGGCTAAAGGTAACCAACTACCACAAAGCTAAGTCTAGGCAACAAGAGCATAAAAGAAAACTTCGGTTCCTTGGTTAAACAGATCAGGGTAGCGCTCCCGCATGGCATCCTCCAACCCCCATGTTGCCTCTTCAGATCTGTGGTTGGACCACTACACTTTCACCATTTTCACCGATTTCCTATGGGTCTCCCTTGTCTTGGTGTCCAAGATTCTGATCGGTCTCTCTTCATAAGTCAAGGTCTCATCGAGAGGCACCACTTCAGGTTGGAGTACATGGGTGGAATCATGTACATACTTCTTCAGTTGCGACACCTGGAAAATGGGTAAAGCCAAACGATAAGACATGTTTCCTACCCTCTCAATGATCTCATACGGACTGATAAACCTGGGGCTCAACTTGCCTTTCTTCCCAAATCTCATCACTCCCCAGGTGGGAGAAACCTTTAACCACACCTTTTCTCCAACTTGAAACTCTACTGCCTTCCTCCCCAAATCTGCATAGGATTTCTGTCTGTCTGGGGCCACCTTCATCCTTCATTGGATATACTTATCTTTTCCACGGTATCCTATAGGTATTGAGGTCCCAACATCACCGGATTAACCAAATCCTCCCAACACAACGGACTTCGACATTTCTGACCATACAGAGCTTCATAAGGTGCCATCCAGATACTTGAGTGATAACTGTTATTGTACGAGAACTCGATCAAATCCAGATGTTCTTCCCAAGATCCTTGGAAGTCTAACATGCAGGCCCTCAACATGTCCTCAAGGGTTTGAATGGTTCTTTCAATTTGTCCATCAGTGGCGAGGTGAAAGGCAGTGCTCAACTTCAACTTCGTTCCCAAAGCAGCTTGTAAAGATTTCCAGAAATGAGATAAGAACCTCGAGTCCCTGTCTGAAATGATATCTCGAGGAACCCCATGGTATCTAACCACCTGACTCACATATGCCTTAGCTAGCTGATTCATTGACCAAGCTTCTTTCATAGCAATAACCGAGCTATCTTGGTCAATCGGTCCACTATCACCCAAATCTTATCCTTACCCGTGCGGGTCACAGGTAAGCCTCCCACGAAATCCATAGAAATGGAATCCCACTTCCTTTGGGGTATTTCCAAATGTTGAACTAACCCTTTGGACTTGCATCTCTTCGCCTTAATCTTTTGTCAGTTCAAGCACCTGCTTACAAAGTCTGCTATCTCTCTCTTCATGTTAGGCCACTAGTATTGCTTTTTCACATCCTTGTACAACTTATCACCCCCCGGATGCACCGAGTAGGGGGTGTTGTGGCCCTCCTCAAGAATCTGCCGTTTCAAACATTCACAAGCCACTAGCACACACCACCGGCCCTTGTATCGTAGGCCCCCATCGTCGAACAACTCGAAGGGTCCTTTCTTTCCTCCAACCAACCCACTCCTAACCTTCATTAAAGCGGCGTCTTTCAACTGCTCATCCTTTAGTTCCTCTAACAAGGTGGGTACAATCCTCAAGTTGAGCAGACAGGCCTCAACTTCCACATGCCCTTGTTCCACAACCTTCAAGTTCATCCTTTGAAACTCCCTACATAGTTCATCGGCCACTACCCAAGTAGTATTGATGGAGTGTTTTGTCTTTCTACTCGGCGCATCTGCTACCACATTTGCCTTTACCCTCGTGATATTGAATATCCAAATCGTATTCCTTGATGAGTTCCAACTAACGCCTTTGGCGCATGTTCAAGTCTTTTTGAGTAAAGATATATTTCAGACTTTTATGATCTGTGAAGATCTTGCACTGGACTCCATACAAGTAGTGCCTCCAGATTTCAGTGCAAAAACCACTGCTGCCAATTCCAAGTCATGAGTTGGGTAAGTCTCTTCATGAACCTTAAGCTGTCTTGACGCATAAGCAATAACCCTCCCGTTCTGCATCAAAACACATCCCAAACCCTTTTTTGACGCATCACTATATACTTCAAACCCCTCCGAACTGGACCGTAGAGTCAACACTGGTGCGGTAGTCAGTTTATCCTTCAACTCACGAAAAGCTGCCTCGCATATCTGATCCCACTGGAAGTGGACCTCCTTCTTTAAAAGCTTGGTTAAGGGTTGAGCCACTTTAGCAAAGTTTGGTACAAACCTCCGATAGTACCCCGCCAAGCCTAAGAAACTCCTTACCTCTGCGATTGATGTAGGTGCTGACCAGTCCATCACTGCTCGGATCTTTGCCGGATCCACCGAGATCCCATCTTTGTTCACTACATGCCCCAAGAAGGCTACACTGTTTTTCCAAAACTCACATTTGGAGAGCTTGGCATAAAGCTGTTTCCCCCTCAAGGTTTATAGAACGGTCCAGAGATGTCTCTCGTGTTTTTCATTGTCTCGGGAGTAAACCATGATATCATCTATAAACACGATCACGAAATCATCCAGGTGCGGTTTAAACACACGATTCATCAAGTCCATGAACACAGCCGGAATCACTGTGAACTCGTAGTGCCCATATCGAGTTCGGAAAGCCGTCTTTGGGACATCCTTATCAGCTACCCTTAGTTGGTGATAACCTGACCTTAGGTCGATTTTAGAAAACGCGCATGCCCCCTTGAGTTGATCAAACAAGTCTTCGATTCTCGGGAGAGGGTACTTGTTCTTGACTGTCACTTGATTTAACTCTCGGTAATCAATACAGAATCTCATACTCCCGTCTTTCTTTGTAACGAACAAAACCGGAGCTACCCACGACGAAGTACTAGGGCGGATGTAACCTTTGTCCAATAAGTCTTGTAACTGCGCTTTCAACTCTTGCATTCCTTTCGGCGCCATACGGTACGGGGTCTTAGATATAGGTGTCGTCCTTGGCACAAAGTCCACGGTAAACTCCACCTCCCTTGGTGGGGGCATGCCGGGAATTTCCTCGGAAAAGACATCCGAAAATTCACACACCACAGGTATTGATTGAGACTTATCTTCTTTGGCCTCTAAGTCATCAACCGTACACAATAATGCTTCGTGTCCTTTCTCTAAATATTTCTTCATCCGGAGCATTAATACCATCTTAACCTCAGGTTCTTTGACGGTGCCCCAATAAGAGACTCGTTTCCCACTCGGTCCTCTTAACACGACTTTTTGCTCACCACAAAGGATTTGAACCTTGTGCTGCCCCAACCAATGCATTCCTAAGATCACGTCCATGCCATCCAATCCGAAATGAATCAAATTACTGGGGAAATCCTCCTCTCCAATCATGATCTTGACTCCCTCAAATAGGCAATCGCACGACTTAACTTCCCCCAAGGCTACCTTGACATTCAGCTTCACCTCCACACCGGCGGATAAGCCTAACTTCTCTACAAACTCTGAAGATATGAATGAGTTAGATGCCCCAGAGTCAAACAAAACCAAAGCCGGTACCGATTGCATCAGGAAGGTTCTCGTCACAACGTCGTTGTCTCCAACTTGGGCCTTGCTCATTGCAAGAACTCTCCCCTGTGACAGATTCGTCTCCAAGTCCCGAACTAGCATACTTCCAACTTGTTTCTGATCCCGTAACGGTGGTGCCATAACACCAGTGGGGTTAACCCTAGAGGACGTACCACCCCTAATCCAACGCTCCACGATTTCAGTGGTGTTAGGGTAACCAATCACTCTTGGCTTCTTAAGGGTTGGATTCCCGCTATTCTCACTTCTCTTCTTACTTAGTTCTGTCCTCACCCGTTGATCTTGTTGTACCTGAAAGAGATTCGTTGTGCGAGTGTAAGCCTCCCCAAGGGTCTTAGGTTTGAGTATAGATAGGGCCTTCCTGGCCTCGTAGTTCAATCCTGCCACAAACTTTTCCACTCGGTAGGGATCAATACCTGGGCGAAACGAGATAGCCTCAAAAACCGTTTGTGGTACTCTATCACAGTCGAAGCTCCTTACTTGAGATGACGAAACTCCTCATATATAGCGCCCAGACATGCGAGGGATCGAAGCGCTCACGGAGTTTGTCCTTAAATCTCTCCCAACAAAATCCTGGTTCTCCTTGGCAACCCGGTTCCTCGTAGACCCACCACAAATCCGCTTCATGACTGAAGTAGAAGGTTGCTAGCTCAACTCGGCGTTCTTCGGGACACCCAACTACCGCAAAGATCTTGTCTAACGAACGAATCTACTCTTCCAAGACCGCGGGGTCTTCTTCCCAGGCAAAGGCTCGAGGTCGGTGACTTGAGACTTGTTGGCCAATGTCACGGTTCCCGTTCGGTGGTGGAGGAGGAGGATTGTTGTTGTTGTGGAGGAGTGTGTTGCTCAGGTTCTGCGTAATCTGAGTGAGATGCTGAAGGTTCTGAGCTAGCTGTTTATTCGTGGGCGTCTCCGGAGTCTTTGCACGGTGACGAGGTGGTGCCATTGCAGAGTTCTACAGAAGCAACACGGTTACAGCAAGAGAAACGGATAAGCTTTGCACCCTTACCCGGTGCTTAAAACGAAAGAACTTAAACCAAGCGAAGGCAAGAAAAGAAAGCACAACAACGGTAACACTCCTAAGCACTTAGTCACTTAGAGTTCAACCTTAAAGTCTTAGTTCAAACTTAACTTCTTAGGGTTCAACTCCTAGCATCCTAGACTCAAACCTAGGCTCTGATACCAACTGTAACACTCCCGATTTTAGCAAAATTTAAAAGCTTAAACATGAAGATAAATTCAACCATTAAGATTAAGCAAAGGGGAAACTAACTAAACAAACTGGGAGATGTCATGCCACATCTATCTAACTATAGATGCACAGGCTAGAGTCTAAACCAAAATCATCATAGATAATAATTCATAAGTCTAGGCTCAAAGGCCACAAAACTAGAACTACGGAAAAGACAAGCTACGCTATCTCGGTCCACATCTAGCGCGCTCTCACACGATCTACTTAAAACCTATAAAACATAAGGGATAGCACCCGTCAGCGAATAAAGCTGGTAACCTACCATTACGCGTTGAATAACATATAATATAAATATAGAGAAAAGCATTTGAGACTTTGGAATACAATATATAATCCTTTAAAAACCAGGAAGCAACAACATAAGACTCATCATAAAGTCACTCTCAATCAAAGACCAATCCCAACAGATTACTCAATAATCAACAAGAACGACATAAGCAACATGCTCAACAACAAGATACATCATACGATAATCAATCTAGAGACAATCATAAGTCACACTCATAAACCATGAGAGACAAGATTCACAATCAAAGATAAGTACAAAGTTCCAACCTTATGCCCTGTTCCAACCATTCTCTCCATGCCAACCTTATTACAGTTCCAACCTTTACCTCCTAGTGCCACCCTGTACATCGAGTCCAACTTATTCCTCCGGAGCGACCTGCTCCCCGCCTGCATCCGCCAGCTTTTACCGCCAAACGGGGACACTCGTAGTGTTAATAGTCATGTAGAATAGTATTAATCACGTGATATCCTATCTCCTTTCATTATTGTCCACCAATCATATAACATTACATAGTCATCATCATAGAGGATTTAGGCTCATCAATAGCCCAATCAAGTATCAACAAATGGGTACAACATATGTACAAGATTACATCAAGGAATACAACCGATATATTTCAATGAAAGGCATGAATAGACCATCAAGGCAACGATACATCAACGATAAACTTTAATCTAAAGACTACCATGATTGGCAACACAAGTTGCCAATCCTCATTAAGAACAAACGAACAACACATACTAGTAACAACAACATTAGGACTAGCATGTACAATTAAAAGGAGAAACATAACTGTTCATTCGAACCTCAACGACTTCACATAAATCCAACAAATCACAAGGTTGGACCGTAAGCACGATTCAAGACTCATAATCCTATCATGGATACTTAGGACACCGTTCTAGACATATGAAACATCAAAGGAGACACACAAGTGCTCAATGATTCAACAAAACGGAGGCCAAAGCGTCACATATAAGTGGGGGGAACGGTGGGTGGACAACCACCCGCCACACCCCTTTACAAGTACCAACGGGTGGACCTCCACTCGCGGCTCTGCCCGCCGGTCACCACTTCACCTCCCGCGGGTGGAACGGCGGGTGGACAGCTACCCGCTGTTCCGTCGCGGGTACACGTAATAGGGGAGAAATTCCCTCCGGGGAAAAACATCAATATTACCATGCTCAAGTCCAAAATACCCAAAAACTCACATTCAACAAGGAAATGACTTAAACACATGAATAGCTCAAAAGATGGCATTTATGAACCCTAGATAGAAGCTCTAACATGCATAAACACTAGATTATGCATCAAATCTCACAAGAACATCAAATAGAGTATCAAGAATCATCATAGCAAATGTAAAGTAGGTTTTATAAAGCATGTGTTACCTTTGTAGACCAAGATACACTTCCTTTTTAATCCCCTAGACTTCTCCTTGAAGTTCCTCCTCAACACAACCAAGCATACAAAGAAAAACCACAACTTAGATAAAGACTAGGTAAGCTACTCAAAAACACCAACTAAGCTAAGATCTTACCCTTCCTAGTGCTTTGATGGTGTAAAAGTGGAATCTTGGAGAGTTCTGTTGCAAGGATGAAGGTGGATTTTACTTGGCTTGGAGAGTAATCTAGGCCTTTTTAGAGAGAAGGTAGAGAAATTGTAGAGAGATGTGGTAAGGTTTAAATGGTTTTGCTTTCTCTTGGTTGGGGTGGGGTTTTTAGGACAAAATCTGAAAAGTAACATAGAAGTGGGTTCCTCTTGAGTCAAATAAATGCTAGGGAAGGATTGAAGGCTTAGTACAATGCATAAAGCATCATGTACACTTAGTTGACTAGTGAATTAGTCAACTTTTGGTCCCTCGACTATTTAATTAAGAAATTATAAGGAATAGTTCACAAAGAGAGATAGGATTAATTACATAATTAATCCTATTTAGGGGATTGGATTTTCGGGGTGTCACACCTTTTCCATTCTTTCATCAAATTTTACATGAATGGATTCCTCTATCACCATGGTTCTATTGTTGAGAATTCTAAAGGTTTTACTCATAGAGGAGTAACCTATAAATAATCCTTCGTCGGCTCATTTATCAAATGGTTTTAGATGATTCTTTCCATTGTTGTGGATAAAGCAATTACTTTCAAAGATGTGAAAATAACTTACAATAGGTTTCTTCCCATTCCATAGCTCGTAAGGAGTTAGTCCATGCGCTTTGTTGATCATTGAGTGATTCTGGGTATAACATGTTGTGTTGATAGCTTCTTCCCAAAATCCTTTCGGTAATCCAGAATAAGCTATCATAGTTCGTGCCACTTCTTTTAAGATTCTATTCCTCCTTTCGGCAACTCAATTCTGCTGCGGACTTCTTGCGGCCGAAAGTTGATGAAATATGTCTTTCTTCCCGCAAAAATCCGAAATCACTTTATTAACAAATTATGTGCCCTGATATGATCTTATTCTTATAATGCTAAGTTCCTTTTCTGTTTGTAGTTGCTTCAACAATTCTGGCAGCATCTTTTCTGTCTCATTCTTTTTACTTAAAATGATAGTCCAAGTATATCTTGTGTAGTCGTCTACTACCACGAGAGTATACTTTCGTCCGCTAAGGCTTACTGGATCAACTGGACCGAATAAGTTCATGTGTAGAAGACTCAGAGGTCTTGAATTTGTATCAATGGACTTTGATTTGAAAGATGATTTGATCTGTTTGCCCTTTTGACATGCATCACAGATTTTGTCTTTTGAGAATTCGACCTTGTATCCTTTATCACAGAATTGACTCGTGCTCAGAAGGTTAAACTTCAGTCCTTCGACATAAGATATATCCTGAATTGTTAATCCATTTCTTTGAATATCTCCAATCCCACGAGTTTTCCTACTCGATTCTCCTCCAAATACAACTTTCGGGCTATCAATTTCTTGGAAGTTGCTCAGATTTGATTTATCTCTTGTCATATGTCTTGTGAAACCACTGTCTACGTACCAAGTGACCTTGTTGTCCTACAATCAAAGATTACATATTTTTAGGTACCCCTTCGTTCTTGGGTCCTTGAGGGTTAGCAGTTAATTTCGGGATCCAGACGAACCTAGAGTTGGGATTACTCATCCTTGGTCATCTGTACCCATTAAACACGCGATAATCATAAGAGATTTTTTGAAAAGTTTTGGCTTGTTTGTATCGACTTTGAAATTGGGTTCCAGACGAATTGCGATACACCGTAGAATAGTTTGTCTGTTTATGTTTGTGAACCTTTTCGAATTCTTCTTTCGTCATGGGTTCAGGAAACACAAGCCAGTTCTCTTTAGAAGGATAAAGCCTTCTGGAGCCTCTCATTGGTCTTCTAAGTGACCTCTGAGGCTTAGCATTCCCGTCATTCTTTCGTTCATTCGGAAAGCTATTACGATTTCCTTTAGAGTAAGACTTGCGTTGACTCATTGAATGAATTTGCCTCTGAAAAACATTCGGGTTTTCCTTCAAATGGTTATTTCTCGTTGGCTTACTATATTTGTGATATAGACTCGGTCTAATTACTTTTGGTCCGTTTCGATTTGCATTTTTAATATGCCTCGAGTTGCCATTCGAGAAATTTCCATTTGTAGGCTCCACAGCACGTTGTACAACCTTTCCCTTAGGACGACTTATTGTCTATGGTGCTTTACCCTTGTCATTCTATGTCATTGGCTCAGGTAGCTGAGTTGGACCTTTAACGAACACAGATTTTAGACATCTACTGGTAGAAGGATCTGTGGGTTTGGTTAATAGAATATGTGATGGAGAGCTTGGGTCATAGCTTTAACACCCCCATTTTTCATAACCAAATTTCCCTTAATTTTTTTTTCTTAATTTACAATTTACTAAAATCATAGCGGAAGCATTAACTAATCAAAAGAAAATGGGTGTTACCGCTACACTTAGGTAACCCACAACCTAAGTGCTAAGGCTAAATTTACAACTTACGATAAACAACTCAAGATATGTACTAGTACAAAAACATCTAACAATCCAACTGTCTAACTAATAAATGATATCTCTAGGTGGTTCGCTCGTTCTCATGCCCAATGCTCATGCAAGAGTTCCTGCAAAAACAATTAACGAATAGAAAACAAAGAAACACACAAATTCAGCATAAAGCTTGTAAGATCTACTTCACCCCGTAAAACATTTTTGCACATAGCACATAGGAGTAGATAATTGGCATATAGCATACACCCTTTAAACATTTAATCTTTTATTATCAATAGAGCATAATCATATAGAACATAACTCAAATATGAAATACTAAGAATTTCCAACAACCATAATTTCCCAATAATACTCATAATTTTTAATACCAAATCAGTAGTTCTCACAATGGATATTTTAGGAACCTTTCAAAAGTAATATTTTTTTTTCCAACATAGAGGAACACCAATCTCAATGCAATGGGCAGGGTCTTGTTTCATCAAGCCCTAGTGAACAGTAATCACCATAATGAACACTACACAAAATCTCATTCAATCTCAAATAATGGGCAGAGTCTTAATTACTTAAGCCCTAGTGAACAGTAATTCTCTTTACTGAACACTACTAAAAAATCCCATATAAACCAACCAAATGATGGGCAGGGTCTTATTCAATAAGCCCTAGTGAACAGTACTCACTCAACTGAACACTACGCAAAAATCCCATATAAGTGGAACAGAACTAATACCTTAAGTGTGCACACCCCCAATAGGTTTCCAAGCCCAATGGGTAGTAACTAGTCCTAGTAGCCAGGATATGTTTCTACTGACTACTACTCAACAGGGTAAATACCCTAGTGGTAGACTCCGCTAACCACTCCTCAAAACAACAGGACTAAATGTCCTAGTGAGACAGGATATGTTTCTACTGCTCACTCCATAAAACAACAGAGAGTTTTTAAGCTCCCTAGTGAGTCGGTATATTCAACCGCTCACTCCACAACAAACTGGGTCATAACCCAAGTATCCAGAATTTCACAACAGGATACTACAAAACTCTTAAGATTCAATTTCCTTTATCCTCAATCTTTATAAAAGTGACAACATTACTGATATTTCTCAAGCAAACAAATTCTCGACACCTCAAATAAGGAACCGACAGAAATTTTCAGAAGGTATGACCTATATTGCAAAATTTATAGAAATATATTGGTAACACATTTTCAGATGAAATTTTCCAGATACAAGGTACAGTGAGTCTAGATTATACACAAAAAGTTTCAAATCAATCCAAGGCCTAGAAGTATTTTTCCCGAAATATTTCCCAACACAGCGCCAGACTGTAATTTAATTGGCAGAACACTGCCTCAAATTTACGAAATTATTCTGGAAAAACCTATACATATTCATTAAAATCATGAATCACATAAACACATAGGAAAAGTAATTTTTGATTTGGGGCAAAAGAAATTTTAGTGAACATAAATCTTACCTCTAATAATGCCCAAAAGCAATCACCTAAGCTTGATGATCTTGACATCTAATTCTTGAAATTAATTGATAAGAAGAAACTGCTAGGGTTTTATTTTTGTTTGGGAGAAAGGAGGGATTGTCGACAGAGAGATAGAAAAATATATTGAATTAGGTTATCTGGAAAAATATGACTACTACTTAAACACTTAACTAATAACTTGTATTATAAATAATAATTCTAGTTGTAGAAGACTGCAACACCTAAAAACTTAATATAATATTAATATACATATTAGCCTACTAGCACTTAACATATATACATACGTAACACATATATAAATAAATAATTATTAGCCATAATACACTGTTTCGAAATAAAAGAGTAGCAGTAGTAGACTAGTTTAAATAGTTTTGGGTCACATAAAATAATATAATTACAGACCGTATAGTAAAAATGTTTTATTTAACATAATATCTATTTTATAAAATTTTATTTAGAATAATAATATTTATAACAAAATACTCAAATAACCGGGGTATCACAATCTACCCTCCTTAAAGATGCTTTGTCCCCGAAGCATAACCACATGAAAATACCGGGTATTATAATAGCCAAGTCCGGCTCTTTCCCCAGATGGTCTTTGATCATTTACCATTCGATCTATTATTTTAGATGAATTTGTAAACAATGTGATGACCGCACGCATATTTTGCTCTCTTATTTCTCTTGATGTGCACTCCTCTTTAAGAAGAGGAACGTGATTTTCGAATTGGTCAATAGTGACCATAATTGAAGCATGTGCTCCATCTCAACTAAAAGCCTAAGCTAATAGTTGGATTGCACATTAATGGGTATATGCTCAACACACCCTCTCACGTGTGCAGTGGGTTCCAAGCAACACGTGAACCATAATCGCTTATGGGTGGCACTGAGATTTGAACCCATGACCTTTGGTATGGCTCTGATACCAAATTGAAGCATGTGCTCCATCTCAACTAAAAGCCTAAGCTAATAGTTGAATTGCACATTAATGGCTATATGCTCAACACTCATCAACTAATTATTCTTGAGTTTAACGCTCTTAAGCTCTTCACATTCGACCAAGAGTCGAGAGTTCGATTCCTTTATTTTGGAGTATGTTCTTTTTACTAACTTGAAGTCCCTCATCAGTTTTATAACTGAATCAATGGAACTCTCTTCACTTTTTGAATTAGATCCAACCTGGGTAGATGAAGAGGCTTGAGAGCTTACCTCATCATCTTTTGCCATCAGACACAAATTTTCATCACTTTCTTCATGGCTATATAGGCAGAGAAGTCCTTTCTCATCGTCTGAACTTTTGCTTTCTGAACTTGAGCTTGAAGTGTTTAGTTCGGGTTCAGCCTTTTCGTTTGTTTCGTTGACGACCATGGCCTTTCTTCTTCTATCATTTCTTGACTAATTGGTTTTGTGGTTTGCATTCTTCCTGCTTGTTTCGGCTACATCATTTCTACTGTTTTGAGTGCTTGTGCTTGGCTCTTGTTCCTGGTACTTGCGGACCATATGGTAAGGACAAGTTGCCTTAAAATGTCATGGCTTTCTACAGTTATAACACAACATCTGACCATCCTCAGGTTCATGCTTCTTGAGGTGTGATGATCTTTCAGCTTGCTTTCGACCAGAGGAACTTGGCGAGGCTTGGAATTCTTGAAATTTGTTCTTTCGTATGAACCTCTTGAGCTTCCTTACAAACAAAGCAAATTGTTCGTCAGATAAAAAATCAGTAGGGTTAGATTTAGACCTGCTAGTTGTGACTGACTGTTGATTAGCAACAAGAGCTATATTTCTTGGTTTTGGCTCTTCAGTGTTTTTTGGTTCGTGCTCAAACTCGTATGCTTTCAAATCACTGAAGATCTGTGATGTTTGAACTGTTTTCAAATCCCGGTGATCTCTCATTACTGTCACCTTCATATCCCAAGCTTTAGAGAGTCCACGAAGAATCTTCAGATTTATTTATTTTTGGGTTAGTTCCTTCCCTAGATCAGAGATCTCACTCAGCAACTTGGTGAAACGAATCTCCATTTGAACAATGGTTTCATTCGGGTTCATCTTAAAGTGTTCGAAATGTTTCATAGCAACCGTGAGCTTGTTTTCCTTTTCTTGCTCGTCTCCTTCTCCTATCTCCATGAGAGTATTCCAAATATCTTTAGCAGTTTTGCACTTTCTAACCCTTGGAAACAAGGATTCGTCTAGAGATTTGTACAGAATATCTCGTGTTACATTGTTGAGGTTAGCTCGTGTTCTCTCTTCTGGGACATATTGAGCTTTCGACTTTGGAATCATCTATTTGGCTTCTGGACCCTGAGTTGCTGCATGTGGATCCACCATCATAACAACGATTGGGCCATTCGTAATCACATCCCACATCTCATCGTGGATTGCCGAAAGAAGTGCTTGCATTCGCACTATCAAATCATCAAATTTTGCCAAGTTAAAAGCAAGAGGCCTAGAGCGATGACTATGGTCATTTTCCATTTTGAAAATTTTGTGCAAAGATAAAAAAAAGTTTTAAAGATTTGGGAAGGGATCAGGTGTAACACCCCGAAATTTTGAAACTTTTAAAACTTATATAATAAATGTGAATTCTCATTAAATCCCAAAATCAAACATAAGAGTGCGGGGTGCTATGCCACATCTGAGCTGGAGAACTCAGATGCACAGGCTAAACTAATTAAATATCCTCAAAAAGCAATGTCAATACATAATCATGGCACGCAGGCCGAAAGGGAAACTAACTAATCTACGCTTCGGATCTCTAGCGCGCTCCGGGGTCTACTCATCTGTGCCTGAAAGCCAAATATATCTGTTCAGCGAATGATGCTGGTAACCCACTCCAACGCGTTGAAATACAATATAGGTAAATATATATATATATATATATATATATATATATATATATATATATATATATATATATATATATATATATATATATATATATATATATACGAAAACCATTTTGAAGCAGGAAGATATATACTTAGGGGACTCTAGCTTTAAAATCGGGGATAGACTCGACAAATCGGGATAAGCATATTCAACAATGATAAATAGTTATATAGAGACAACATCATAAAGAGCATGTATCTAAGGTCACAGTTCACTTTCAAATCATTCACATCATCATTCAAGTCACACAAGCACACTTTGGTGGCGCCACGGGACCAATCGCATGGCCCAAACATGAGGGTTAGTGCATATAGCACTAACACGGCCCCCGCAGCATGAAGGGGTTGATCGCAACCAATCGTATAGACCGCCGATAGTTCGACGGCGGATCGCAGCCCTACACACCGCTGACGCGCTCAGTCGGTGGACTGCGATCCTCTTTCGGGGACTGTGACCCTACACACCGTTGACGAGCACAGTCGGTGGATCGTAGCGGATCAAGCCCTACACACCGCCTGAGGGACTCATTCGGTGGGCGATGATCCTCGGAGACTACGACCCTACACACCGCTGACCCTTCACTCGGTGGATCGCAGCCAACCATAGCCCTACACACTGCCTGATCACTCATTCGGTGGGCCATGGCCTTCCTCAGGCTGGTGGCCCTACACACTGCCTGATCACTCAGTCGGTGGACCATTTGCACACGAGGCCCATGTGGGCTGTAACCCAAGAAGTGAATCACTGACCGCAGCCAGGAAAATGAACCGCAGCTCATGAGTAACCAATTTGACCGCAGCCAACTTCTGAACCGCAGCTCAGGAACTCCCAATTTGATCGCAACCAAATTGGGGAATCATGCATCACATAACACATAGTAGCATGTATTGGCACATTGGGAAGGGGGGGAACGCATAAATAAACTTACATGTGATCATTCACATACTAAGAATAATCCTAAGGGGTTCATACAACTTCCACCTAGGCCAACGGGTTACCGATTCAGCTAGCATGCAATTCCTAAGACTCTTCTACCTTACGAATGGTACCTGAAACACCAAACTAGACTCAAGCACGACAAATGGGGTCCGTTGGGACACCACGGGGAATGGGGAACATCAAACGGGGAAGCCAAAGACCCGGGGTGGGTGACAAACCAGCGGGTAGCCGGTGGGTGGAGGGCCACCCGCCGGCGGTGAACTTCCGGGCAGCGGGTGCCCGGCGGGCAGACGTCTGCCCGCTGCCTGGCGGTGTTTCTTGGGCAGCGGGTAAGTGGCGGGTCCCCCTACCCGCCGCTGACTCTTTATCAAATATAACGTCCCGGGATCCTTCGTGGAACCCGAAACCATGCTTAGACACTTTTAAACGCAAATAACGACACCACATAGGCAATTAATGGATCAAAAACAACAATCACATAGAACATGACCTATCATGACTCTTAAACATAATCAACACCCGAACATGTGAATTCCCACCCAAATATACCAAGAAAATCCCAATACGAAATTCATGATTCAACCTAGGGCTCTAATCATATTTAAATCACAAAATCATGCTTTATCTTTAAAATCAAGAACGTCAAGATTTATCAAGAACACCACATAATTATCAAGATTCCCTTATCATCATCAAGATCATCAAGATCATCAAGATCACACATAAAATCATCACAACAGTTATCGAGATCATATCATAATTATCATAGAAGATTTCACCAAGACACAAGTATAGAATAGGGAGCCAAGGAAGGAGATTATAGCAAGGAAAATAGGTTTTGTTGAGACATGGGTTACCTCTTAGCCTTAATTAAATTCCTTGGCTATGAAGGGTCTTTCTTTAAGATTTCTTCTTTCTTGATTTCTCCTATGGGAATTCTTGGAAATTCTTGTGTGGTGAAAGTTATTGTGGTGTGAGTTCTAGGTGCCTCTTATGTCCCTATTTATATATCTAAGAGTCCTAATTGGGGTCTAAATGGTATGGGCTGGCCAATTCTATTTCTTATAGGACTAAGGGGGTTGGTTTTAGGGATAAGGGTTCATGGACTATGGTGGACCCTTTTTGGCTAATTAATGGATTTTAATTCACTTTTTAGGGTAAGTGATTAATTAATTAGTTCGGTTTAGGGGTCGTAACACGGGGTGTTACATCAGGTGTGACAACCCAAAATTTATTTTTCCGAATTCTATTTTATAAATTCCAAAATAAATTATTTTCACTCCTATGTTAATTTTTCAAATGGGTATACGAATTAAATATTTTTAATCCCTTTATTTTAAGTAATTCAACATCCAAAAATACTCATATTTTAAAAACCTTATCTTTTGAATATATTTATGTACAAAATTTTGACCCGAAAAGTCAATCTGAGTGAAACCTGAGAATAACCTGTGAAACTGATTCAAGTGTTTTTGCCTAGAAATATTCGTAAGATTGAACCCATTTTGTTTCTAATAATTTTGAAATCCATTTTTATCCTAACTTGACCCAACTTTTGACCCAAAATTATAACCCGAGATTTTAAATCGCGAAATGACTTTTTAATCCCTCTTGGCCGAAAAAATTCAGCATTTGTTACCTAGGGTTTTGAGCCCTACCTATTTAAACCTCACTATCCTCTTTGCCTAGACTCAATCCCTCCCATTTCCCCTCTATCACTCTTAGCTCTATCGAATTTTTAAGAAGAAGAAGAAGAAGCTTTTGTAAGGAATCATTTTTCCTCCATTTGTATTAACTTTCCTTCATCTATCTTTCCATGTTTTCATTTTCCATCCCTTTCTAGCCTATTCTTTTAGGCTATAGCTTATGCTTGTGTATGTATGTGTGATGAATTTCTATGTGTTCTTGTTGAGAAATCTAGGAGGTGAAGGTGGAAATCTTGGTTGAAGGAGAGGAGGGATTCCTACTAGGGTTGAACAATCTCAAGGTATAAACCATGGACTCCCAAAACCTATCATTTTAATCTGGTATTGTTGTTGATGATATGAATGTGTTTATTGGTAGTTTGATGCTTAAAAATGTGATAGATTATATGTCTATGTGTGTATTATGAGCTTGTATTGGTATCGTGTTGTTTTTAAATGTTTGGAATTGTTTTGGAGATGTCTGTAGATCTGAAGTGGTATTTTTGGCCTTGTTGTGTTCTACTTCCGAACTCACTGTTTGGGGTTCTGACTTGGCCTTATGGAACTACCGACGGACCCAGAGTGGATCCGCCGGTGAGTTCCGTTACCTGGCGAAACTGGGTGGCGGACCCAGAGAGGATCTGCCACCTAGCACCGTGGCTAGGCGGACCCAGGTGACAGAGCTCCACTAGCTCCATCACCTAGCTCCATTGGGTGTTCTGGAAGGGCAGGGCCCTTGTGGCTCACCCCACTTTCGTTGTTTTGGACTGGGAATCGTGTGCTCTTGTGGCTTAGAGACTCAGTATAACACCCCGCGTTACGACCTTCAAATCTAAATTAATTATTAAATTAATCCCATTAACAAATGGTTAAAAGGGGATTTAATTTGGTTAGGATCCCCCTAATTAATTAGTACGGTCCACCATGGATCGTGGACCCCCGTCTGTATTAGAGACTTTAAGCTGGAAAAGGACAAGGAGAGTAGACCTTCTTCCACCCAGACTCTAATTAGAATTCCCTAATTCTATAAATAGGGATTAGAAAGCATTTAGAACCTCTCTCACCTCTCATAACTCTAATACACGAATTGCCCAAGAAATCTGGCCAGAGGAATTCCCCATCACCAAGCCTAGGGAAACCAATCGGAGGGAAATCTTGGAAAAGAACCTTAATAGCCAATGGAGGATTAGTAAGGATAAGAGGTAACCCATGTCTTACAAAACCTATTTTCCTTGCTATCTTTTATTGATTGGCTCTGTTGAATGATTGAATGTATGATTATGTATTCATGCCTTGTTAGAGCTTGTCTTTAGGAATTTGTGATATGAATTATTGTTACTCTTGATATTCTTGGTGGCCCTGTGTGGTCTTGGTATGTTCTTGTATTTAATTACGTTTAGAGCTTGTCCCTAGGGTTTATATTTTAAATCTTATTGTCATGATGTTCTTGGTGTTCTTGGGTGGGTTTATGCATGCTCGGGTGCTAATTCAAGGCTAGGGCTTGTTTTTAGGGTTTTGCATATAGACTCCTTGATAATGTTGCCGGTCTTGATGCTCTTGGACCGTTATGTGTTTAATCTCGAGTCTTGGCATGTTTAGGGATTGTGTTTAGGGTATAATTGTGGTGTTTCTTGGTTTGATTCTTGTTGTTCGAGTCCATATTGTTGATTGACATGTTTTGCGATGTGTTTGGACTTGATTTCGGATTTAATTGAGGGATTCCCGAAAGGGAAAAAAAATGCCAGATTACCTTCGTACCAGTGGGGGGAC